TGAGTTAGGTCGTAATTGCTGTTTAATTTTTCTCAATATATGGGGCTTTTGCTCTATTTCGTTACATTTTGTAGTAAAAACCTTTTTAAATGTAGTGTCATGCATGTAATGGCATAATTAGTTATTTCGTTTAGTTTTTTTTTTGTCAAACCAGAATTTCATCTTAGATTTATGCATTTTTTGTGAAGTTTGTTGGGTCTCGTTCTTGTTAGTGGTCCACGAGTGTATTTCTGAATATTATAGGGTATTGTGGGGACGAAAAAGGAATCTTGGAAGCTTTTTTACTTAAAAAATATATCTATTTTGTTGGTTTTTTATGGAGTTGTGTAAAGGTGCAACTTTTGACAATAAATACTCATTGATAACAATGTTTTTTTTGTTACTTTGCAGGTATGATAAGAAAATGGCTTCAAGCATAGTTAACCTACAAATCCACCATGGTGGTAGTTTTCTATCGGACCCTTAGCTAAGGTATGCAAATCGACTAACTTGTCCTCGGTTGATATTGTTGAGCTGCATATTATGTTATTTCACAAGTTACCTAGGGATTTAGGATTTTTAAAAGTTGATTTGTTTATACGCAAAGTTAACAAAAGGGGTGGCTATTACATTTTAAAAACAGATGTTGATGTGTTAAAGTTTCTTAATATATTGAAAGGTGTGACTTTGTTGATATTTGTATTGTCCATGTAATTAGTAATCCTATTCTTGTTGAGGACATAACTAAACTGGACCCCACTCCACAAACACATGGGCATGATATTGGGTTAAATGTTAGGGTTGATGTGTCACCTCCCAATAATGATATAAATAGGACTGAAAATGACAAACATAAGGGTAAGGGGCAAATATAAATGGAGAGATGGAAGAATCAGATGAAGGTGAAGGTAATAACTTCTCATCCTATCACCTTTAAACATCATAATCTGATTTTGATGAGAACTTTGATGATTCTGAAGAGTCTGATTCACCGCTTGATATAGATGAGAACATTGAAGAGTGCAGTGATCTGGAAGATGACTTAGCTGAAATTAGACAGTCTAAAATTAACAAAAAAAATAGGAAGCCCAAGTAAATGTAGATGATATACCACCTAGTCCAGTAAGTATAGATTCTGGTTTTGAAGATATGCATAAGAACAAAAGGGGAAAATATGAAGGGAACTAGGAGGGATGACCAGTATTTTGACAGCTCAGATCCAGAAAGTGAGTGTAGCTATGATGAAAGATAACTTGTTGGCCATGATGAAGTAAGGGATGCACCAGCTAGGAATCCAAGTAAGAGGTCTACTTTGACACAAGTTGCAAAAAAATATTATTGGAACTGTATATGATATTTGAGAATATTGTATAGCTTCGGGAGGTATTACAGACCTATTCTATTCAAAAAAGTGTGAACCTTAAGTTGAAACCTAATGAGAGGGAAAGGGTTAGGGCAAAGTGCACAAAGAAAGGCTGTCGATGGCACATTCTTGGCAGCATAGAAGGTAGCACCAGAAATTTTAGGGTGATTACATACTACCATGTCCACAAATGGTACAATAAGACAAGGAACAAGATGTGTAACCCACCATGGATTGTGAAAAACTTCAAATAGAGAATAATCAGTGAGCCTCAATTAAGCTTCATCAAATTCAAGCCTTAATTAGGAAAGCATATGGTCTGTATGTGAGTAAAACTTCCCGCAGAAGAGCAAAAATGATAGTTATGAAGGAGAATATGGGTGATTACAAGAAAGAATTTGCTAGGTTTCATGATTATGCTGAAATTCTAAAGTCTACTAATCCTGGCACTACTTTAGTAATAAGGACATCTAAGAATGCAGAACCTGTCAAGCAGGTGTGTATGGGCATTTATATCTGTCTTGAAGCATTAAAAACTGGATGGTTAAAAAGGTACAAAAACATAATTAGCTTTGATGGTGAATTCCTAAAGGGAATATGTAAAGGTGAACTGCTTTCCTGTATTTCCAAAGATGGAAATAATCAAATGTACCCTGTGGCTTGGGAAGTAGTTGAAAAGAAATCCAGGGATACATGGTCTTGATTTATCTGATGTCTCAAGCATGATTTGAATTTGACAGAAACTGAAGGAGAAGGGCTGACAGTTATGTCTGATATATAGAAGGTATGTTTTCCAACACTTTGTCTTTAAAGTATAATTGCTTTCATTTATGTTAAATTATAACAGTAAAATATTGTAGACTGTAGGCTCTTCATCTAGCAATAACTCAGTTATTGCCAAATGCTGAGATGAGGTGGTGTGCTAGACATATTTGGGACAATTGGAAGCAAACTTGGCCTGGTGAGGAAAGAAGAAATTTTTTTTGGTAGTGTGCAAGAGCTACATTTGAAATTTACTTTAGCAAGAAGTTGAATTAAATGGACTTGCTGGGAGAAGATATTGTTCATGACTTATTGAAATACAACAAGGAGACATGGTGTAGGGCATACTTCAAAGAACATAGTAAGTGTGTTGTAGTAGAGAATAACATGTGTGAGACATTTAATAGTTGGATATTGGCAGCTAGGCACTAATCTATCATTACCATATTAGAGAAAATTAGAATCAACTGTATGGAGAGGATGAATAGCATGAGAAAGTTTTCCAAAAAATGGGTAGGCGATATATCACCCATGGATATGAAAATACTTGGAGAGAATGCTCAAAGGGAAGCCAAATATAAAGTCAAATTTAATGGTGAAATAGGGTATGAGATCCAGGATGGGCCATATAAACATGTTGTTGACTTTAAGAGATGTTCATGTACTTGTAGGCCATGGAAACTCAAAGGAAATCCATGTGCACATGCAATTACAACAATGCATTATAGGAACTATGATGTTGAGCCATATATTGACCATTGGTATAGAAAGGACACCTACATTAAGGCATACAACAGATTCATTCAACCTTTAACTAGTATGAATTTGTGGCCAAAAAGCCCACTGCCAACTATTGAGCCATATAACTGCAATGCTAGAAAGGCCAAAGAAAAAAAGAAGAAGGAGAAAAGCTGTTGATGAACCAAAGAAGAAGTTTGGGAAGGGTACAAGGATAGTGAGACAAATGAGATGTTCTTTGTGCAAGACTCTTGGACATAACAAGAAATGATGTCCAACTGTTGTAAGTATTAATGTTCTTTGTGCTAATTATCATATGGAATCAATTACTAATGTCTGTTTTGTTATGTGTATGAAGAGAAATCAAGGGGGAAGGGCTGGAACTAGTTCAGTTAGAGGTGAAACTTCTGAAAATGCTTCATCAGCAACAGCAACTGGAAGTGCATCAGCAGAAACAACATCTTCAACTGTGGAAAGTGGCACCTTCACTCAACCAATCATTGATTCAAGCACACAACAATCGACTAATGTTGTTGGAGGTCCAAAAAGGAAGACCAATGAGCCTAGAATAGGTGGTGCAAATGCAGAGTTTAAGAGACCAAAGGCAGCAGGATATGGTCTGCTATTTGATTCAAGTGGCACTGTGATACAGGGGGTAATATTTCTACTTAATCACACAGTCAGCAGATATAGTTTGCTAGATAATCCCTCACTCACAACCTTTTATCTTTGTGTAGTTTGGAACTACTGACTGAGTAGTACACAATCCTTCTACACTCATAAGTTCTGCCCCTACCAACATTGAACTTAGGTTCAAACCCTCTGGACTAAAGTGGAAAGGTCGAGCTGCAGCTACACAAAGGCAGCTGCACGAAAGAGTTACAGAAGGGCAAACTCTGCTACAAGCCACACCGAAGACAAAATCCACACCAAACAACCAAGACACAACAAATATTAATTGAAGTGATCAACTCATATTTTGAATACTTAATGATGGATATTTTTATTAACCGCATAGGGTAGACAATATTTTGTAAAGTTACCTCATTATGGATGTTTTTGTTGACTGCTTATCATAGACAATATTTTTTAAAGCAACTTTCTTATTTTGGATGTTTTATTAACTACATATAACATGCCATGACATTAGTAGTAGAAGTACTATTGCTGTAATGATAAATTACAATTTTTCGACTTGAATGTTTCCTTTGTCAATATATTCCATGATTTTTTTTTTATATCAACACAAAATATATAGCCTAAACCCAGAAAATAAGAAAGTACACTATCAATCCTATACAAAACATAAGAGCTAACATTAGAACAACTACAACCACAATTATAATAGCAGCAACTCTGAACTTCGACCTTCCTTGTCTTCTCTGACAATTGCATCGATCACTCTTCTTAATAAGACCCGCAAGAAGAGTCTTGTAGTGTTCTTCCTCAATCGTATGATCAACCCATCGGAAAAAGTCACAACCTTCACCAATCTCATATCTTCGGCAGCCTAGGGACATTCTTCCACGATTGGTGGGTGTTCATGACATTTTAAGATCTGCAACAACTCCACAATAACACAAAGGTTCCTTCTTCATTGCTGAAGGAGAAGACGCGACAATAGCTTATTTCTTGCCGGAGAAGAAGAAAAAAAACTGGCCTTAAAAAGAAAAGAAGATGGCAAAAATTGATGGGCAATGAAGAATCACAACAAAGAAATTCTATTTTTCACTGAAGCTAACACGAGAAAGAAAAAGACATCAGATTTTGATAGAAATCAACTTCTATAATGTTCAACAATGGAGAATAAGGTAGAAAGAGGAAAATTGATGTTAAATAGCCACAATATTACCGTTAGGGCTTTTCCAACTGCCCTCACGCCCCTTACATGCCTGTGAATCACGCACTAAAGCCAAATATGACACATAGGATCAACCTCCTGTAATAAGTGTTTATTATACACGGTTTGAACGAATATAAGTGTCAATTGGCAAAATGATAAGTTTGGGGACCTGCATGACAAAGTGGCACAAGTATAAGTGTCATTTAGGCTATTCTGGCCCAACTAAATATTCCAGATATTCCAAATCGCCCTCCCAAGTTTTCATTTTCTAACGTTGGGTCCACACCTCAAAAACTATAAAAACGGAAGGTCGAGAACAGGGGGCAACTAGCCTCAGCAGTTAGCAGTGGGATCGAACCGCCAAAAGCAAAAGCCCTAGCCCCACATAGCCGGAGCGAGTGAGCGTAACGCTCAATTCTCGCTCTGGCTTTTCAATTCTTCAACTTCGGAGTGTTAGGCTATCGACTTCGATAGTTTGATGCCATGTCGAAAAGGTAAGGTTTCTATTTGGTCTCGCCTTATCATTTTACCCTTTTTTAATTAGGATTTGAATGATCTGTATAGTTTTTTTTTCTAATTCCATTTTGCAATCGTAATGCTTAAATTTTGATTATGGTTATGTATATTCTTATGATTATATGCGTTTCAACATAAATTTTGTGGTGATGTTCATTGAATGTTTGTGTCATGTGATTGAATGGAAGATGTCAAGGTTGAGAAGTAATAGATTCCATCTTTTTCGTGACCAAATTTTCTGAATCCTTATGACAAATTGAAGGACCATCAAATAGTTGAAACTTGAAACAAAGAGGATAAGTTCTGGAAATAGTTGCGGGAACATCGTATTCATTGGTTTGTTGATTGGAAAACTTGTCAGGATAATCAGAGACGCATTAGAAGAGGTCACAACTCACAAGTTTGATTCAAGTCTAATGTAGTTACCAAAATAATCCGGCAAGAATTGACCGAAGTTACCATATCAAGTTTCTTGTCGTCAAAAGAATTAAGAATTGGTTGGTTAGGATTGTTAGAAGTCGAGTACAAAGGCCTATAGTTTGAATTGTGTTAAACCTCACCGAGAAAACGTCGTTAGTTATCGCCCTAGGGTTCCAATGGTAAGAAAAATCCAAGACTGCGGTGGGTGGCTTTGGAATGAGTAGTTGATCCTACATAACAAAAGAAACTCACTAGAGTATGGTCGGAAATAGATTCATGCGCCAACACATGAAGCACGTGAAGATGAAGATTTAGGGAGTTGATCGGCGCGTGATGGTGCGTGCAAGCTTCAACTTTGGTGTGGGTACGTGAGTGCATGGCAGGTTCAACTTTGGTGCGACTTCTTAGATTTTACTGGCACTATGTTCCTCTTCTTGTGGGGTTGTTGGTTTATGGGCAACACTCACGTAAGACAAAGAAACTTTAGGTGCAGATTGTGGACTACTACGTGGCACAATTTTCTCTTCTTTGAAACATCCAACTACATGAACAGGAAGTTATTCTTATAATGTAGAGATACCATGTTGAACTATGTGAGCCACCTCATCTAAAAGTTTAAGTTAGAGTTGTGGAGAGGATACATATTTTTATTTATTCTAATTAGGTCTGTGTGACATGTCCTCTGTTGTGCCGACGTAATTCTTTTTTTCTTGGACCATGTGCGCCAAAATATTTCTCATATATATGGATGGTGGTGAGACCTGAGTGGAGGACCAGTAGTTGTTCTGGTATCACGTGAAAAGTTCATAGAACTGGTAGAAAAGATCGAAAGAACGTATTAAGACAAATGGCTAATGTTTGGGCCCTTATATTCAACCTTTCAATGTATACTCATATTTTCTTATGTGGGTCACTTGTATTCACTCATATATAATACGTGAAAGTCTAATCTATCGCACAACCTATTTAACAGTCGTATTTACTTGAGATGTACTATAAAAGAGTTCATGACTGATAAGATGCCACTAAGGAGCTCTCTGCCATCGGTTTGTGTCATGTGCTTTGAGGTGCTGTGCACTTGGAAGAAATAAATAATTTTTGCATAGTTGAACTTAAGACATTAAACTAATTGCTTATTATATGGTGTCTACTACTGTTTCTTTTTTATTTTTTTGTTGTTGATGGAATATGTCTAGCAATGTTAAAAGGTAATATCTGAAGAGGTACATTATCATCACTCTAGCATTTTTTGATCATTTGTCCCTTTACCATAACTATACAACAAAAGAATTTGATTGACAACTTTATGCCGAGAAAAGGAAAATATTGATTAGCAAAGTTTATTGTTAATTGAAATTTGTAAATGAATTTGTGGTCTCTTGTAGATGGCCATATGCACTTACAGACATGTTTATATATTTTCCAGGGTTCTTTGCAAGTTCTTTGTACATGGTGCATGTCTGAAAGGGGAGTACTGTGAGTTCTCACATGATTGGAAAGACCCTCCAAATAATGTAATGTTCTGGACATCCTATTTTTGGCGATCAAAGTTGATTAGCCACTTTGGCATCTAATTGCTCTTACTTGGATTATAGTTGCAGGTATGCACATACTACCAAAAAGGACTATGTGCCTATGGGAGCAGGTGTAGATACGAACATGTTAAAGTTTCTCAACCGCATTCATCTCCATCTTCGTCAGCTCCAGCTCAACATCTGCTCTCAGATCCTTCTCCCACCACCTTATCTCCTGGAATGCTAGCAGATGGTGCAGGACTTTCTGCTGAGTATTTGACTTCAGGCAGACCTTTTTACCCTCCCAACCAAGCTGCTAGGAGTGAAAATTCAGAGCATCATCATGTGGAAGAGATTGAAAACTTTGTTGAGTTGAAGAGAATTAATCCAGCTAATCAATCAATTTGCTCTCTTGCTGCTGCTGGTAATTGTCCACGGGGAGAAAAATGTACATACATTCATGGAGATTTATGTCCAATCTGTGCGAAGCATTGCTTGCATCCTTTCAGGCCTCAAGAAAGAGAGGAGCATATGAAAACATGTGAGAAGAGGCAAAAGCACCTTGATTTATTGAAGCATAGTCAAGAAATAGAGTGTTGTGTGTGTCTTGAACGTGTACTCTCCAAGACAACTGCAGCAGAGCGGAAGTTTGGGATCCTTTCTGAGTGTGATCATCCATTTTGTATATCGTGTATCAGGAATTGGCGCAGTGGTTCTCCTTCCTCTGGGATTGATATCAACTCTACATTTAGGACCTGTCCGGTATGCCGGAAGCTTTCATATTTTGTCATTCCAAGTGTCATTTGGTACTCCACAAAAGAAGAAAAGCAAGATATCCTTGACAGCTACAAAGCCAAACTCAGGTTCATCTCTTCCCTTTTTTGGTTTTGTGTTCTTTGTTTTTCCTTTGGATTTCTGTGAACATGGATTTTAGAACTATTAGCATGGATGTAACTTGTCTCGAAGTGAAACAAACACGGAAAGTTCCTGAAATATTTTATGTGATTTTTTTAATTGCAGTCGCAACACATTCATTAACATATTAGGCACTACTTTCAATCATGTCAGAGGAACTTTGTTAAGAGAATCTGTTGCATATGATCACAAGTGCCCATTACGGAATGTCCGAATGATAAGCAGGGTAATCTATTTGATGATAATGCTTACAGGTACCCAGTACATGTGCTGTTGGGAGGTAACAAGTACCCCGTGAAATTAGTAGAGGTACGCGTGTGCTGGCTCGGATACCATGGTTATAAAAAAAATGATAATATCTATACACTTCGATTCGATGATAGGAGTACTTATTCAAACCCTGCCACGGACCAATAGTTTGGTATTTAAGTTGAGAAGGGTAGTAGGATGACCCATTATCCGTGGAGATTTGAACTCTGTGCCTGTTGGCCCTCGGAGAATTCTCGGTTTTCCAAAAAAGAAAGATCCTTTTCATGACAACAATTATGTTCATTTTGTGGTAGTGAGATCTGAAAAGTCAACTTATGGTGTTGTGAGAGATGTGTTTTCTAATTTCCAAGTAGTAGTCATTGTTATGAGCGGACTTTTAAATATATTTTGGAAGAAAGGAAGAAAGAGGAAGGAAAGTAGGCCATTTAGAAGACAAATAAAGAGAGGAGAGGAGTGGTAAATCTTTTTTGAGTTGATTATGAGTAGGAAAAAAGGAATGTGTGTCATTTGGTTTTAATCAAGTATTTGTTCTTTTTGGGATTACAAAAGGACCTTTGCACCAGCTTTTTGTTGGAATAAATGAAACTAAACATTTTGTTTATGACCTTTCTCCTCCTTCTTAGCTTCTCTTGCTAAAAATCAACTGAGTAGAAAAAACTAACTCACCCCTATCCTCTCGTCACCTTCATCTGCCTTTCTGTGGATCCAAAAGCTTCATTAGGCTTTGAAATGATGTTTTTTTTTTTTGATTTGCACCGGGTGTCCGAGTCTCTAAGAGCCCCGACTAATTCCGGGGGTGCACAGGCCCTCGGCAAGGAGTTTCCCGCAAGTGCAACACGGTTAATTCAGGTTTTACCCAGTCCGATGGCCCTCAGAAATTGTTTGCACCCAGTGGGTTTCGAACTTGAGACCTTGAAAGGGAGCAAACCCCAAGGCTCAAGTCTATTGCCACCAGGCCAACCCCTGAGGGTTAAAAAATGATGTGTTTTTATTTTTTTCAACTTCGAACTTACCCAATGTAGAGTCCCATATGTTTTTTGATTTATTTGGCGAGTGTTGGGATGACTTCCAAATCTACTACTAAAAAGTAAGCGGACACGGTCGCATGCAATATAATATACCTAACTATGAGTCGGGGTCGAATCCCACAGAGAACAATATGTAGGCGATTAGGCAGTGTAAGAGAATTATCGCTTATTATGCTAAGCCAAACGCTTAATAAAGGTTTTGAGAAAATATTTATATCTAAATGTGAAAATGTAAACTAACCTAGAAAGCAAATAAAATGATTAATGGTTACAAGTAATGGATACACGGGGAATTACACTCAAGTAACGATCCAATGTATTTCACGATTTTACAAATATGAACGAGTTTATGTTAAATAGCCTCGGAGAATAATTCTATATTAGCTTCTTTCGAAAACTAACAAGACTTCCTGATTGAATTATCCTTAAAAAAAATTAAGAGATTAAGTGCATCCGATGTGGCTACAAGTAGTTCAATCCTATCCTTAGGTAGAATCTATAAAGTGAGGGTTAACGCCTCAAGTTCTTGTTAATTGATCTTTCCCAACCCCAAATTACCTTTTCCAAGATTAATTCGAAGTTAATGGTCGAGTCCTAGGGTTAGCTAATCCCTTTGGAAACATTAAAGAACAAGAATAATTAAAGTAACAATTAACTAATTTCAATATTAATAAAAATCATTCAATACATAAGCACAACAAGATATTTAATCCAAACTTTAAATATGAATATTCCCATAAACAAGATTCAAATATTGGAATAAATACTACACACTTAGATATTCAATACAAATTAATGTAATGAAGAAATGAGTAAAAATGGGTAAGAAATTCTCAACCAAAGTCTTCAAATCTTCAAGACCTAAGTGTGTGTGCAAGAACCCTAGCTCCCAAACTTGTTTCTCCAAAGACCTATTTCCAATAACCTAGGTTTGTATTTATGGGTTTGGGATATACAAAATGTGAATTGACATTTCTGCCCAGGTCTGAAGCCCGTTGGCTGCACCTGCGGAAGAATCATCGCAGGTGCGGCTCCGCAGATGCGGAATTTTACTCGTAGATGCGAGTCCTGTGAGGAATTGGCTGCTCCGCAGTAGCTGAAATGTCGCCGCAGAAGCATCTCCGCAAATGCGGACTTCAACCGCAGAAGCGTCTCTGCAGAAGTGGCTTTCCTATCGCGTGCGATCCCAGTGGACTTTGTCAATTCCGCAGATGCGGCTAACCTCTCGTAGATGCGAGAGCGCGGAAGCAGACATAATATCCCATATGCGAAATCACTTTTCAACTCTTTTTTGCTCAATTCCACTTCATTTGGTTTCAACTCTTTCCAAGACTCATTGTACCTGATATACTAGCAATGTGCAACATAAATTACCTCATTTTACAATTAAAAGATACATAAACTAAAGAAAGACTAAAATAAATGGTAAAATCACCAGCCATCAACACCCCAAACTTAAAGCTTTTGCCTGTCCTCAAGCAAATCAAAATCAAATACTCAATGAGGCTCTACCATTTAAAGCTCAAGTAGCATAGCTATAATTTCAAATTACATTCTCCAATTAAGCACAACAGTTATGGCTTTGGTTGGTACTAATAATTAGGCTCAAGCATGTGAACTTCAACTAAATAACTCCCACATTTAAAACTCAATCTCAAGAATGTAATGGAGTTTCAAATTAATTAAATGACAACAACCAAGCCTCAAGAAGTGACTCAAAAGCACTAGTCTACTACATATGCTCAATTTATTCCATTTGGAATTTATCAATGTCACCAATCCATCATAATCCATGTGCCCTCACAAGAAAGAAAGTCCCAAAATCACCATATTTACAACAACATAAGGGACAAAGGCATAAAGACACTCACTCTCAACAAAGAATTTCAAATGTTACAAATATCATTCCATAAGCTTGCCCTTATTTTAATTCGCCGCCAATTCAAGAACATTCGGTTGGAGATCCCATAAGGACTTTTTAAGCTTGTAATGTTGGCTTAGGGAAGGGTAGGATAAGCATTTGGGATACAGGTGACTACACCTCCTTGGACACTATTCACATTTGTCTTTCTTTTGCACTTTGCTTCTTTTTAAACCACATAGCTCTTATTGACCTCTAGTTACCAACATTGAACCATCTTGAATTATCTCTCTAATTTTTTCAAGACTCCCCCTTTTTATTTTTATTTTTATATACATATATTTTCTTTTGCTTTTCTTTTGGAGCTTGAGTATCTTCATATAACACACCTTTGAGGTATTTGCTTCTACACACAATGTACATCTTCACCATTTCCCAATTGACACCAACACCCCCAACTCATCGTGCTGCTACTCTTCCAAAGATGGACCTTCTTGACAATACTCATTATTCTATGATAGATTTATTCTGTGCATTCAATCTAATTTTGATGAATTTCTGTATAATGAAAATAAATCTGTTACCTTGATGTCTAAGCTCTCAGAAAATATAGCACATGAACTTTCTGAGTAAACTTTTACTTCTGGGTGGTGTGTCTCTATGTTGCTGAAACTTGTGCATCTATTAAATGCTCCCCCTTCCCCCTTGTTCCTAGGGAAAGCGTCTTTTTCTCTCTGATGTACTCTTCGTTTTCCAATTTTGAGCTCAGGTCTATTGACTGCAAGCACTTTGACTTTGGCAATGGGACTTGCCCATTTGGAGCTAGTTGTTTCTACAAGGTACTAATGTTATGATGTCTGTCTCTGTCTTCAGAATTTGATGCCAATAGTGGTTTGTTGCCTTTCCTGTAAACATAGCGTATTTTTTTCCCCAAATAATGATGGCTTCTTTCTGTTAAGTTACAGAAATGGATTCTAGATGTATGACATCTCAAACCATAACACTTGAGGACGTTTAATTCTAAAAGATGGATGGACCGGTTACGTTTGCTTGGATTTGATAGCTCGAGTAGTCAAAAGCGCAAAAAGCACTGAAATTTGTTGAGGCTTTAAGCACAAATCCTCATTAAAGCGTGGGCATTAGCAAGAATACTGTCAATGAAGAAAAAATAAAATATAGAAATGTATTGCAAGAAAATCTATAAGCACAAAAATAATTATTTGGACACTATAATTAAGCTTTATATGCAATTAAAATCATGTCCATCAAGTTCAAAGACCATATTAAATTTCTGATTTAGATGAAAAGATGTAATTTTAGGCTTTTAGTGGCTTGTTTTCTTATGCTAAATTTCTAATTTCTTATACTTTATCACTAAAAGTTAGTCATGACGTTTTTTAACAACTAATGTATCGTTTTATCAATCAAATATATTTATTGTCTATTATTGTGCTATTGGTGAAGAGATGGCACGCCTTTGAACCTTGATGCCTACACTGAAGCGCCATACTAGGCGAGGCAAGCGCACAACATTGCTGATAGCCCACTTTCAGTACACAAATGATGTTTGGATGACTTGAGTCCTTATTAATGATAAATCCGTCGAGGAAAGATTAAGAGAATATATTTGCAGCACAGTGAAGTGCCACTTTAAGTACACGAATGGGGCTAAACTTGGAGGGAATATATTTTCGTTTGGTTCTATTTATCCTGAAACTCAAATTATATATAGTGTATCTCTTGTAATCAAGTTTCTCTTTGACTCATTCACTTATCTTGTCACTTGACAGAACCATGAAACCTCATCCTGTGAACTGTTGGTTGGCTCATCCATTGTCAGAATAAACAAGTAAAGGCTCAAGGGAGATCTAGATTATGAATGCACGGATGGAGAAACTCTCTCTGTCCCTTCACGTTGTTCTTACATTTATGGCCACTGCATTATGGGTATCTTTTAGGACATTTTATATATTTGATATGAATTTCTTTCTTCTCTAGCATTAATTGAAGGAATTTTCTTAGCACTCCATATCTGGAAAAGATGATTATTTTGCAGAGATCCTTTTTCCTCTCTCTGTAGATTTCCATAAGCTTTATTACTTCATTGTAGATGATTCAGATCACTCTTAATACTTTACCTTGTCAAAAATGAATATTCCAAAGTCAATAGTTTAATCACTCTTTCCAAAAGTTTCATCACTCGATTCATAAATTGAACCCTACAGTTAGAATATCTCTTTTGTTCTTATTTGGCCCAACTTGATTTGAATACTTTAGTGAACCCTACAGTTAGAATATCTCTTTTGTTCTTATATATCAGAAACAATGTACTCTCTCTCTCTCTTTAATTTTTCCCCGTCTATACCGGTTTAACCTCTTTCCACACCTTATTAGTACGTTGAATAGCTTGGTTAGGTTTACTACAACCTCTCTAAGGTACTTCCAAACATTTATAGACAACCATCCTAATGATAGGTTTTTTCTACTCTCATATTTTTAATGGTGTATGAGGTATGATGACAAATGAGGAGGTTATAGCCTTGGATGGCTGGATCTGGTGCTATTTTTCCAGGTATTTGATTTTCACAGTGGGAAAAAAATGGTCGTTCACAAATTGGTTTGGAAAATGTCTTCCTTATTAGAATTGGTTGGGGTCATTTAAAAAATTAACCAATAAACCCAAAGAAGAGAAATACTATGGTGTTTGACTACGACAGATGCTAAAAGAAGAGATTGCTCGTCGATTTCCAATGCCCTCTCACCTCTAGTGCTATGCATTAGTTCCATAACCTCATGCTTATACCTGTGTTACCATGAAATGTACATTTATTACTCTTCCAACTCGTCACTTTAAACTCATCTAATATGCACGATCGTAATTACACTTTACTGGTGAAGGTTGTGCTTATTGTCTTGGGTCTCATCAATAGTATATCCTTCCTTGGACATTCTAATGATAACTAGTTGTAAGTTTGACAATTGCTGTTTAGTTTCAGTTGAAATATTGAATGACACTGAAGTAGAATTTTAGTTTTGGAAGAGCATGCGGTTCAAACGTGATCCAACTTAGCGTAGATTGAAATGTATGTGCTAATGATATAGGGATGACTCCCGTTTAGTACGGTGCTGTCACCCTATTTCACTGGAGTTCATATGTTTGCTTGTTCATTTGGTTTTTGGTTTCTTTATTGAATGAGGAGGGTGTCTGAGTTTGGTGACAGATTTGGTTTCATAGTTCGAGGTTATGCTGAAATTGATTGCCTTCTGATTATGAATATAGGTTGTAGTTACTTGATGTCACAGGGGACTGTTCTCTTCTATAATGGATGTTTCCGATAAAACTTTAGATATTTCTTTGCATGCTAACACACCCATGGGTGGGTGGCTTGGTAATGTAATTTCTAAATACCACTAAGTGGTAAAACTTTACATATTTCTTACAGAACTATTCATCAAGTTAGCAGTATTTCTTTGTTTCTGATTATCTTTTTCCCGCTTTTCTCGTCTCTGTTATTGTTGTGGTTCACAGCCTTTGATATATTTGTTTCAAGATGCATGCCTGCTTGCTTTATGGATATTATGGTCCACTATTGCAGCATCAATACCGTGATGGCCGTCTGGAGGAAGTGGTACTGCGTCATCTTGGTTCTGAAGATGGAAGCACAGTGGTTGCTAAAAATATTAGGTTACACCTATCATCCAAACTTTTTCTTCGTTGTGTTGTGACAATTTTGAAGGGTGTTTTCTATTTCCTTTGGTCCGTAATTGACTGATTTGATCTTACATATCACTGTTATTTTCAGGCTCTCAGACTTCCTTAGCAATTTGAGAATAAGGTGAACAGTGGCAATGCTTATAGTAATTTCAGGGTAAGTTCTACATTTTTAGCTTTTTTCTGTTGGTTTCATTTTTTTTTCGTGTAGAAGGATTTCAAAGGGTTTGTTTGTAATGTAATGGGAAAAAGAGAAGAAAGACTTTCCTTTCAAATTGATGTTTCACATAGTTATTGACTGGTTATTTTGTAGTCATGCATTTATGGTTTTCTTTTATCGTTCCAATTTAAAACTCTTCTAGTATCTTTTTATAGCCTATGCTGATAACCTTAATGGTCAACCATTTATTTGATGTATATGTGACAAAAAGTTTTCTATTCACTCTGAGCATTCTTCTGACTGCAGGGTTGAAGTTCGAAACAGCTTGTATTTCTTCTAAGTGGCAACAAAATTTATTGCATTTTGTGAGGTAAGCCATTATCACTTACCTGGTCATATTGAGTCTTAACTAGCTACTAGCGGAGTGAAATGGGTTGTGGATGTCTGACTTTAGCATGTCCTAGATTCTTCCAGACGAGTTGCTTTCCCCTAAGAAACTCTCCATCTAGGACTAGCATCGGACCTTCCAAGGAAACAGTGCCAGTTAGCTCATCTTGGCTAGGCTTGGACAATAGCCGAGTCGAGCCCCCTTTTAGACGAGATGCTTTTCCCAGAGAAGCTCTCCAGCTATGACTAGCATTCGTCCTTCAAAGAAGACACTGCAAGTTAGCTGATTTTGTCTAAGGCCTGGGCACTGGCTCGGCTTGACTCATTTGAAAAAGAGTTGAAGATAGTTCAAATTTTATGTTCCTAATTTTGTCTTGAGTGAGCTGGATTCACTTGTCATGTCATTACTTAGGGAAGATGGATGTAATTTCATGATATTGCTCCACTTCTTGCATCTTATTTTGTGCCCGCTACTTCTTGCATCATCTAATTTTAGGAGATTTATATATGAATTGATCCTTGGAAGTTAGAATTGATGACTCTACCCTGTTAATTCTGAAAAACGAGAAAAGGGAGTATATGGGTTTCTTGCTGTTAAACAGATTTATCCGAATCGTAGGTGATGAATAAATGAATAAATTAGAAAAACATTCTTCTTTTGCCATTGATGGTGGGTGAAGAATCAAGTAGGGAAGTCGCCATTTTATTTGCTTTGTTTATATACTTATCATTTTCAGGCATCTTTTGTTTTAATTATAATTTTCATTTGGCCGTTTCAGTGCAAATTCCCCTGGTGATATACGTTGGAGTTGAGGTGCAGACATGGCATTCCAGGCAGGGGACATGGATATATATATATATATATATATATATATATTAGAACAATAAATAGAAACTAACCCAAACTAATAAAACAAAAAACAAAAGAACGAAACCAAA